TGTATCCCTTTTAGTTTAGTTTAGTTTAGTGTTTTTTTTTTCTTCTTTCACTTTTCTATGAGAAAGTATTATCAGATCAGTAATACTCTATTGTAGAGTGATGGTCAGATGAGCCTCTCAGATCACCTTTTTTCTTTAGAAATTAGGCAAATAGTATGGCAGATCACTTGTAAGTGCTCATAGAAGTAACTGTAAGATGTTGACTTAGCACATTAAGTCTAAAAATATTTGTTAGTAGATAAACAGGAATCTTAATAAAAAGTATTAACAAGACTGCCAAAGTGAAAAAAAATAAAAATAAAAAAATAATAATATATAATTTAGTAATTACAGTATTTTGTAACATTATTTTACTTTTAATAAATGCTTTATTATATTGTATAGTAAAGATATAAAAATTTATACTTTAAAAATAAAAGATTTAAGATTTGTATAAAAGTACTTTAAACTTATAAATTGATTAAATTGGCTAATTATTACAAATAATTATAAATAAATCTATAAAAATTAACTAATTAAATAAATATCTTTTTATAAACTTTATTAATCTTATTAAAAAGTATCAAAAATCTAATAATTTTTTTAAAAAATTGAAGTAAAAAAAGTTAAATTTATATATAAAAAACTAACTATTTATATATTAAAAAAAGAAAAAAAAATAGGTCTTTAATAAAAAATAATCAGATAATTAATAATATAGCTTTAATTAGTTACTCAATTCTTGATTAATTGTTTCAAATTAACTAATTAAAATTTTGCTTAACTAGTTATTTAAAATTTATTTAGATTAAATTAGTTAACTAATTATAATTCAACTAGTTTAAATTACTATATTATAAAGAATATAATAATTTAGTAAAATAAACAAGTTGTTATCTATTCTAGTAGCAAGTTGGAAGTTCAAAACCCACTAATGGCAAAATTTTGTATTTCTATCTGTATTATAGCAACTGTTTTTAATAATTATAATAAGTTAAGATGTCTGTAATTATAATTATACTAGTATAACTAGCAAGTTATAAAGCATTTATATAACTAATTATATAAAGAAATGCAAACTAGCATTATATAATGCAAATCTAAAATAAGTTTTTGTTGCTATATAAATCTATAAAAACTAAAAAACAAGAAACTTATTTAAAAAGACCTAAGCAAAAAGGTAATATCAATTTTCAATAATAATATTGTAAAAACTAAATCTAAAAAACAGATACTAATATAAAAAGCCAAATAAGCAAGAACTTTTAAATAGAGAATATTATTAACCAGACTGCCAGAATTCTAACTAGAAAAATTAGAGAAAAAAATATTAGACTAATTTGATATACTAATAAACTGGTTATAGTTCTACTAAATTATCTAAATTAAAAGTCTGAAAACAGAAGCAAGACTATACTAAAAATACTAGAAATATGCTGTGAAGTGATACTGAAGTTTAAGTAAATCTCACAAGAGTATAGACTTGTTAGTATCTGTAGAGCATTATTAGTTACTACTTATTAAATAATTCTTTTGTATTAACTATAGTAAGTTTTAATAGATTTATTAGAAAGTTGTTTCAATTGATTTAAATCTTTAATCTATTTGTTTTTTCAGCATTGATTATAGAATTAATTAATAAAAATAAGGTTTGTAGCTACCTAGTCATTCTTTTTATTTTGAGTAAGACTATTTGTAATATAATAGGTTTGTTGCTATTTATCAGTATTTTTTTAAAAAAAAGCTAGTATAATTTGTCTTTGTTTAGTAATACTTCAACTATTAGCAATTGCAGCTTTTTTAAAGTTAGCAATTCAGACTAAAGAGTCTTGGATACTATCTTCATAAAAAGGTTTAATGCAAACAATATTTTTACCTTTTTTATTCTCTTTAAGGTAATTAAGAATATTAATTGCATTAGTCATATTATTTTGATTTTGTTAGTTATATAAAAATTTAAATATATATTATTGAAAATCAAAAAATGTTTCAAAAGTCACTATAGTTTTTAAAATCAAGATAATAGAGGTATTTAAAATCTTTATTTGTTAATATAAAAGAATTTCTTTAATAACAATTTGTATAGACAGCTAAAGATATTATACTATTAATAATATTAATAATATTTTCAAAAAAACTAGAATATCTAAAACTAAAAACAAGTTTAAAGATAGTATTCTTTAATTGTAATAAGTTATATTAGATATAAATTTGTTTAATTTAATCAAAATATTTTATAATTTTGTCAGAAAAGTTACAAGCAAAGTATATCAAAAATACAAATTTTAAAAGTCAAAAAGTATTATTAAGGTTATAAAGTAACAAATTTCACAAGAATTGTTTAGTTTAGATATAGGTAACTAAGAAGTATATTTTTTGTATATAAAAATATTTTTAATAAATATTTTTTAAAGTTAAATTATATGGATTATTAATTTAGAAGCTATTTTTTACAATGCAAACACTTATGCTTTTATTTCTAAATTCTAATTTTCAGAAATCAATGAATATTTCTAAACTTTATTATAACAATAATCTTTGTTACTTAAAAAATAATTGTAGAGGAAGTTCTTTCAGTTCTAAAAAAGATTAAATACTAAAATTAGTTTAGTAGTTATTGAAATATGGTTAGTTAAAGTTTGTATAATAATAGTCAAAATGTTTTTTTAAGAAGGTTTTTTTGCAAATTCTTTACAAATCAAAAATATTGTTACTACTTTGATATTGTATAGCAAATTTTAAGAAAATTTTCTTACTAAAATATACTTAATAAAAAAGATGCAGTAGATTTCAAGTATATATTTTTTAAATTTCAAATCAAACTGATCAATATTGACAGAGCTTTCTTATAACTACCTAAAATTAATTATCTATAATAAATTAAGAACTTATAGTTATTACTAAAATATTAATCCAAAGATTTTCTATTTTAATAGTAATAATAAAACCTGTTTAACAATAGCATAAAAAAACTATAACTTAACAGATTCAATACAAAGCTTATAACAAGACTTAACAAATATGATTTAGGTAATTAAAATAAAGACAACAATAAATAATATATGAAGATACTAAATATTGCATTCAGTTTATTATCTAGTAAAATATATAAAAACATTTTTAATACTAATGAAGTATATAAAGACACTTATATAAAATGTAAAAATACTTAGCTTTCTTGTAAAATTAGAAAGTAGTGCTTTTATAAATAGAGAATTTCTATTTGTACACTAGTGTGTAAACATGCATCATGTGATATGACATCATTTAATAGAAAAATACAATTTTATTAGTTGATAATATGAATATATTTTAAATAGTTCTATGTAACATAGTACAGTTACTAATAGTTTGTATTACTATCTACTTCGAATATAATGCATTTACTAATTTCTGCCTCACTTTCTGTGTAATGTAGCACAATCAGGATAATTCAAAACAAACGTCACTTTGTCGAAAAATGTCTATAACTCAAAAATCTGTATAAGAAACCACTCTTGATGCTCTAACAAAAAGTTTTCCTTGAGCGATTTTACTATTAGAGCTCCTCTAACCCTAACCTTAACATAGACCCTAACTCTAATCTAAACAAACTTTTAAGAATTTTAATACTGAAAATTTTTGTTAGGTAGTTCATAGTACAGCCAATCAAAATCGCAGAAAAGTAAGGCAGAAATTAGTAAATTCGAATATAATACATATAACTAATATACATACCAATAATGATACAATTTTTTAGATTGAGTAACCACTAACATATACAATTATATGCATATGTACATATTTAATAATCAGTTAATCATACATAACTAGTAATAGTTACATAGTACAAAGCTAAATTATGATAAAATTATATAGTTAGTGCATAAATGCATATGTATACGTAGAAAAATAATTGTTTGTAAATTTTCAAAGAATTCGATCTTTTAACAAAGTACCAAATAAAACAAACAAAACCATAGTATCAAATATTATTCATATCAGACTGACTTCTGACAAGTTTTTGCATAATGGCCAAATTTTTTATACTTTCCACACATATGACCCTTTGTAATCATACCACTATTACTACTCTTAACTATATTTGTATTTTCAAAGTTGTTTGATATATTAACATGTGTACTATTCCTTAATACTTGTTTGTCTTTATAAGATGAATATTCGACACTAGATTTCAATTGTTTTGGTGGTTGGCCTTTGTGCCTAGTAATACTAGGATTAATGACAGTAATATGATTATAATCAGTTGGTTGATTTTTGTCAATTTTATTCTGCATATCGTAAAGTAATGATTTCAAGGTATCAGATAGTTTTTGTGATGCATTGGTTCTAATAGCTGTATCAATAACCTTTTTTGATAATCCAAACAATTCTGCATATATAGCTTTATCAGATTTAGTTGTTGATTCAGAATTCCATAGTATAGATCGAATAGCAAATAAATGTTTAAATGTAAAATTGCTCATAGGTTGATCCTCTTCTGGTTTAAATGCACCA